AACTTGAAGCCTTTTGACTGGTTTGCCAGTTTGTCCTGTAAATTCTTGGGCAAAGTAGTGCTCTAAATATTTACTTTAACGATTACAACCCCGTAAAATGGGTATTTTTAATTTTTACATTAAAAAACTTAAGCTCAAATTTTAATTTGTTCAGCCACCTAGCTATTTTCATGGTAATGTGAAATCTGAGTATCAAAACAGCCAAAATGAAGTTGTGTTAAAATGATTAGATTTTTAAAAAATGATTCTGAGAAACACGTGTGGGGGCTGGCAGGTGGCGTGGTGGTGAAAGGCGCTGGACTCCCATGCCTGACTGCGGTTCAAGTCCTGGACCTGGCAGCTTGCTTTCTCACCTTTCTCTCTCTCACTCTCTCTCTCTCTGGTCAAATTAAACTAAACAAACAACAAACAAATAAAGTTGAATAATTCTTAAAAAATTATTTAAAAAAAAACCCAAAACCACGTGTGGAGTGGCAGACTGATTAGTGGAACTCAGTTAAATGACCCCTCCTCCCCCACACACACCCCAAGTCGTGTCAGGAAGGGGAGAGAGGGTAACCAGGCTCCAGAACCCAGGGAACTGCCATCTTATCTGGTAGACAACTGAGAACTGAGCAAATCCCACACGTAGTGTCTGGACAACTGAAGACGAACCTCGAGGTTCCAGCTTCATTTACGGTCACTACTCTGGATTCTGCTGCCTCCTCATGTAAGTTAATTACAATAAAGCTTCTCACTATAATATGTTTCTCTTACAAGTAAGTTCCAAGAAACATTTATAGAAAATAAGTCAGAGCCAGTAGATGGTGTGGTGTTTAAGGTACTGGATCCCACGTGGTCAACTGTGTGGTTAGAGTCCCAGACCTGGTGACTTAAAACTCACGCCGGGCACGTGTGCATGTGCGCCCAAAATCCCAAGAGGAGAACGGAGAAAGGATTGTGGCTTGGCTGTTACCTCTTGAGGGTGATTTCTCACTTGTGTCTCTCTCTCTGTCTCTCTTCTGTGAGAATATGCACCCTAAAGCAAGAAAGCTAAAAAAAAAAACAAAAAAAAAAACAAACCCCAAAAACAAAAAAACAAAGCAGTCAGATACTGAATGATGTTTGAATATGTAATAACTGTGTTCTAAAATTGACTGGACTCTCTAAGACTTAAAAACAAATCACTTTTGCAGACATTTTAGGAAGTGTGTTCATTTATGGAAGAGATTAGCATTCTCTTTTCCCAAATGTTGATTACTATGTCTACTCTATGTATCATAGTATTTCTTTTTTTTTGGAGAGATTTTTGCTATAGGGCGTGTGTGCTTGCCAGAGAGAAAGAGACAGAGAGACAGAAAGCGAGAAATCACCCCCCAGAGGGGATGGCCACACCGCAATCCCTTCTCCTCCATTTTCCTCTCGGGATCTTGGGCATGCACGCACACATGTTGGGCATGCACACACACATGCCCGGCGTGAGTTTCAGCCACCGGGTCCAGAACTTGAACCGCAGTCAACTACATGGGAGTTCAGCAACATAGCCATTATGCTAACTGCTGGTCCCCTCAATAGTATTTCTTAAAAGAGGTCATTTTTAAAATTTGATTTTCTTCATGATATCATGTATGTGTGTACACAAGGAGAAAGAGCCACCCTCAACAGGGTCTTATCACATGGTAATTCCTTTTCCGCAGCCCCCCAGCCAGTCAGGATCTTAGGCACACTTATGCATGCATCTGGTCTGTTTTCAAGCCAACCGGGGGATGTGAAACCACACGCGACTTCCAGCACTGCAGGTAATTTTGCTATTGACTGTGCCACTAGGTGGAACTGAAAGCTATCATTTTGAAAGAGGGAGAATATAGAGAATAATATTAAATAATACTGTCAGAAACCATGAAATAACTTAATAAATGAAGGCTAGTTTTCACATTCTAGTACTAGTTTAAACCTTATCGAAGAACCAGATGTTTCTTACTCAATTTTTCCATAAAGTCTTTTTTTTTTTTGGAGAGGTTTTTGCTATAGGGTACGTGTGTTCACAGAAAAAGAGAGAAAGAGAGACAGAAAGCGAGAAATCACCCCCTGGGGGGATGACCACACTACAGTCCCTTTTCCTCCACTCTCCTCTCAGGATCTTGGGCATGCACGCACATGTGCCTGGCATGAGTTCAAGCCATTGGGTCCGAAACTTGAACCGTGGTTGACTACATGGGAGTCCAGTGACATAGCCACTACACCAACTGCTGGTCCCTCCATAAAGTCTCTCACGGAGAAGTCAGTCCCTACTCTCTCCATCTTACGTGTAAAAGAATTTCATATATATTTTCAGCCTTCTGAAGAAAACACACCAACTGGCTGGGTTGGGCTGGGGGTGGTTAGACAGCAGTCACAGCCAATCACCTTGCCCATGTCCGGGATCTCCTCCCCACCCTGGCCATGGTAATCATGCCTAGAGAGCTGCCAGCGGTCTGCAGCCTTGTCCCACCACGTTCACAGGTTACAGAGCTTCTCCCAAACCCTCCACCCAGCCCAGTCACTCTGCTGGGGCTGCCCATGACAGCTAACAGTAAGAGTGGTTAGGAAGGCATACTAAATAGTGTTGACTACTTCTCTTTGACTTTGGTAAAATATATCACTGAGTAAAGACTGGCACAAGGTAGAACTTTACTGAAGAATGTAATAAAATAAATTGAAAAAATAAAAAAGGGAAAATACTAGAGAGATAAAAAATAAGAAAATACACTGATTATAAATGGAAGTCACCTTAAAAAAGAGAAGTCTTCTACAACAGATGAAGAAAGTTTAATTTCTGTTCACATTAAACACTGTTTACCACAATCAGCTAACAGAAATTACTGTGACATTGGTCAAAATGATTTCATAAAACTAAGGAGAAAAATTTATTATGAGAAAACCTCCTTGAATGTGCATGATGATGTTAGGTACTCTGTTTTTCATGAGAAGATACAACTTATCTTGAGGAGAAAGCAAATAGTTCAGATCAGGGGGGCATGCTGAGGTTTTAATAAAAACAGAAAACCTTTGCCTTGTCCAGAACACTTAACACAGTCTAAGGTGATTCAGGTAAAGGAGATGACTACATTCCAGCACCCATGGCACGCAGGCCCAGGGTTCAGGCTTTATTTACATCACTGGGCCACGCCACTTTCACCTTTAGGTAAGTGAGCTGCTATTTTTGGCAGCGGGATCTTCAATAGTAGCCTTGAGTCCTATTTTAACCACCAGGCAGTCCAAGGAATTATTTTTAAAGTAATAGTTGAATATTTTTATGCATTTACTATTAAGGCATCTAAATTTTTGGTGTTTTCAGTAAATAACTTGACTGCTACTTTTTATTCTTTTTTTCATTTGTATAACTATGGTATTAGGTATTCAGTGATATAATTGTTTCTCTAACAAACCAGTTTATCCCACTTAGCAAACTATAAACTGGTGTCTTGTGAAAGGGAAATATATAATGTGGAAACACACGTAAAACTATATTGAAAACCAATAGAGAATAATTTTACTATCATAACTCACTCATAATTATCTGATAGTCTTTAACTTTGGATAAACACAGAGTAATTAGAATTAAAATAGGTATTAAAAATAATTACCAGTAGTTTGTTTTATAAAAGAAGAATAGAGCTATAAATGGCTTAATTGCCCAATTAAGTAACTACCAGATTCTTTAGTCAGCACTAACAAAACTCACATTTGAGCTAGTCAACGAAGCATATAAATACTTAACATCTCTTGAATATAACATGTTAGTGATAACAAAGACTACATAATTCTATTCAACATCATGACTATGAACAAATTAGGCAGGTTAAATATTAAAGATACACTGGGAATACTTCTGAAACCAACAATAGTATTAGCAATTAAATGAAATTTAGAAGACTCAGAAATAAAAGAACAATTTTAACATGGATGAGACAGTGCTTAAACAATTTTGACCTAATCAAGACCACCAAAATGCACTATGATATTTTTTTTATTTAGTTTACAGAAAGAATCTATAAGTACAGGTTGCGGAAAGAGAATGTTTAGTGCTATTTACATTTGTTTTAAAACTCTGCTCTATACAAATTTAATTCTGATTTGCATGAACAATATTTCCGTAGATCTACTGCATATAAAGCCTTTTCATCAAAGCATTAATGATGTGGAAAAAAAAACCTGATTACATTTAAATGAAGCTGACAATTTGAAACCGTTTACAGTTAATGTTTCTAAGAGCCATGGACACTTAGTAAGGACAGAACATAATGCAGCCTGCAACTTCATTTTTATAAAGGCTAAAGTTATGTATATGGAATATTGTTCTATACGCTACACGCCAATCTATATTTAAGTTCTATAGTTAGGTATTTTTATAAGTCTTTTTATTAAATATATTCTACACATATCTGTAATTTCATCCAGGAAGAATTTCTTCCTAGTGAAAAAATATAAAATCTTTCATATTTTTACAGGTTTAGATGAAACTAGCTCATGCTTTAGTGCTGTGCAAATTGTTTTTAACATATCAGTCTTTAAATTATTGGTACAAAATAAAAGAATGTCATCCTTAATCATGTATGCCTCAAAAAATCAGCTTTAGATTTTAATACAATTGCAAGCACTAATACCAAATGCAAAGTAGAAACAAAATTAGTACTATGGAGGTCTTTTTTTTAATTGTGAGAATCCATCCGACTTCTCTGATGAGTATGCACGACACTGGACACGGTTGCAGATGAGCAACGTTATGGAAACTTTCGATTTGCTGATATTCAAATGCATAAAGCTGATCAGCCAATGAGGTTTTCTAATATTTCTGCATAATAACAAAACCTATGTGTGATTGGAACTTCCCCCCCACATTAAGGCTAGGCGATGCGCTCTCACCCCTGCTTGTGCTGTCTGAGCGAGCACTCAGTTACTGGGGGACTTGAGAGTGCACATGGTCAAGGGAAAAATTCATCAGCTCTCCACTGAGCGCTTTAAACAACAGGCACATTTTGTTTTTTTTTTTCATTTGTTGCAGTGCGAATAGTCACATGCAATTTAGTATTCTGTGCCAGTGCAGCCACCACGGCTGACTTTGGTAGAATTCACCCAACATTTTAGTTTCTTTTCCATTTTTTTTCCTCTCAAGTTGGCCCAGTAATTAAATTCCTTAACTGCTGAGTGTCTTCCAGTGTTGAATTGTATCTGTGAGCATTTCTAGGTACCATAAACGTTCAAATTCTGCTGATGAAGAAAACAATGTCTATCTTTTTTAGTGCAAATTGTATTTGGAACACGTGATTGTTAGTTCTGGCGATGAAACATTTGTGACAGAAAAAATGGTTTCTGCTCTGAAAGATAACTCGTTGACCTTTCCCCTGGAGATTGACCGCATTCAAAAACCAATATATTTTAAAACTGCTCAACATAAACAAAAATACAAGAAAGAAAAACTCATAGTGAGAAATGTTCTTGGTTCTTTGTACTTTCAAGAGAAATGATGACAGTGTCCATGTGATAATTCAGTCCCATGGGTCTATAGGCAGACTGTTCTTGAAGGTTTCTGAAGCAACATTGGGTCTCTTCTGTCCCAGCAGCATGAAAGACAAAGACTAAACCACGTCACGCTTGGCAGACAGCTTTTACAGGATTACACAACAATTACTCTCTCCAGTCTTTTCACGATTCCTCTGACCTAGGGAAAATAAAGAAAAACCTTGATTATAAAAATGCTAAAATTACAGAAGGGGTTAGACACCCAAGTCCAGTAAGAATTTTCTTTAGAAAATTTTGTGTTTTTTGAATTAAAAGTTTTAAAAATGCTCTTTTAACTTTAGCATGTTTTGAAAGGTCTGGTCATTTGCTTGACAAACTCTGTTCATAAACTCTGAACATTCCCTTTCTCAGACTGTCCAAGAAAAACCCATGCATTTTTAAATGCCTGTCTTTGTGGATCAAGTGTGTGATACTCCTCTCACAGAGCTTACCTTGAGAGTTTGGCTCTGGCAATGTCTCTCTGGCCACCAAATGCATCACTGTTGTTTTGCCGAAAGGAAGTTTTAATGCTATGTGAGAAGGAGAAGACAATTTGTTACATGTACACTGACCTAGTAAAATCACTAACCCGAATGGAAACAATCTGAAAACTTGCTTTTCATATGACTTCTTCAACAGATTTAACTTATCAAATAGAGAATCCTATTTACAAAATAAAATGAGGTTAATATTATCTGAAGTAACTTTCACAATTTAACATTATTCTTCCAAGGCTATAGTTGTTAGCTTTATATATATATCCACATTACTTAAGTAAAGCAATAAAAAAGAAAATACTACTTGGTTACAATCAGAGATCACTTTTAGAAGACAAAGAAAAAGAATTTAAAAAACTGTTTTGAAGAATATTTTTTCTAGATTAAAGTTTAGATTAAGAGACATTTGCTTCTAAGTCTAATTACATGTGAGTCGTAATAAAATCACTGCACTAAACAAGTTACTATAGGGACCAGCAGTTAGTGTAATGGCTATGTCGCTGGACTCCCATGTAGCCAGTCGCAGTTTGAGTCCCGGACCCAGTGGCTTAAACTCACACTGGGCGTGTGTGCGTGCATGCCCAAGATCCCGAAAGGAGAATGGAGGAGAAGGGATTGCGGTGTGGCCATCCCCCCCAGGGGGTGATTTCTCGCTTTCTGTCTCTCTGTCTCTCTTGGTCTTTCTGGTGAGCATATGTGCCCTATAGCAAAAACCTTTCGGGGGGGGGAGGGGAGTTACTATAATGTAGAAGTAGAAGAAACAACAAATTCAGTTTTAAACACTTATTCTTAATGCTGTATTCTTCAATTAGGAAATAATGTTTCTTAAAAGTTTAAATGAAAAGAATCATTGTCTTGGCATTTTTACTAATTTTTAAAAATTGGGTCTTTAAAATTTTTTTTTCATGAATGAGTTAAAAATTATGTAAAATTTCAGATGAAGAGAGACTATAACACGCATCTGTGTACTGATGAATATTAAAGTAAATATGAACATCAAGTCTCAGTAATTTTGTTTGTTATTCTGTATATAAAATTAGAAGCAGCTGGTATATCTAACTTTTGACATCCCAAACTAGTTACTTACTCTTTGTCAGCTATAAACATAAGACTTATTAGCAAGTATGACCGTCCTGCATTTTTAAAAATTCCTGTTTAATTTTTTAGGACAGAGTCTTGCTATGTTGTCTAAGTTGGCTTGGAACTTGTGGTTTTCCTATCGCAGTGTCCTGAGAAGCTGGGATTATGGGTATGTGCCGCCACGACCAGCTGCAAATGCTTTTTAAATCGTCCTAATTATCTTCAAGATTAGTACTGTCTCATATATATATAGCCAAGGTGAATTTCCATCTTATTTAAAGTTGCCTAGCCATAATTTGTCCTTTTCTTTTAACCTCTGAAGTTCAAATGAAGCATGATAGACTATAAATACATATATGATGAAAAAAAAATTGTATGGATAACTTCCTAGCCTGATTTACTACTGAAAGGCAAATAAGACAGAGGCTGTCAATCTTAGCATATGTAAAAATCACCTGAGATTTCAATTCAGTAGTAAATGAGAGCTGGAGTAGAAAAGACAGGGCATACAGAAATCTGTATTTTTTTTTTTTTTAATTTTTAGGCAGGGTCTTGCTTTGTTGCCCATACTGGCAGTAAGCCCATGATTTTCCTGTCTCACTTATTTGACTCTAGGGATTGAAATTCTCTATGATTAAAAGCTTACATCTCATGAGACCTTGACATTTGATACAGAATGGACGAATATGGAAGATTTAACACTAAGGAAGCCAGGCTATGAAAGAGAGGCAGTGTATGTCTCTACTCAACATATACTAAATGCCTGCATTCTACAGCAGAGATTGGAAGGTATAATAGCAGGGAGGGCAACTGCAGATTACTAGAGACATTATAGGAGTGGCTGGGTAGTAGAGAGTGGAGGAAAGGGGATCAGAGAAAGAAGAAAACATTTAACAGATACGAAAATTTAAAGTTATCTGATGCTAATAATATATGGGGTAATATCTTTGACTTGACTGATGCATGCTCTGTATTCACACTGGGAAAATCTATTTTGTATGCTGTAAAGATGTACAGTGATTAAATGCAGTCATCATCATCATCATCATAAAAGCTTACAACTCAAAAAGGAGGATTCAGGAATATGCTTTATGAGATTTGATAACCCAAATTTAAGTCTGAACCTTAACCCACAGAATCACAGGAATGACAGAGAATGACCAGGCCTCCTACTTTAACTGCCCATGTAATGAATGAATCCCACTGGTGGCTGCACCCCACTACTTCACAGTCACCTACTGCTGCAACATCACCCATAACAAGAATCTCACTCTCTCCCATGAGGTTTATTCTTTCTCTAGATAGCGCAATGTGTTCAAACACTGTTTCTTATATTGGAAAAAAAAAAAGGAAAAAGAAAGTCTGCCTTTAATTTCCAGCTACTGGTTCAATTCACAGGGCTACAGAGAGCAAGTCTAGGGCCATGCAAAGCAAGTCCAGACCTTCTTAGATACCAGTCATTGACAATTTCCATCGCCCTGAGTGTTATCTCTATTATTATTCATACTTAAGAACAAGGGGAGACTGAAAAGAAAAATCAAGACCAAAAAGACAAAAAGCTGAATGTTATTATCCAAGCTTGACCAAACACCCAATTAATTATAGGTGAGGATTCCAAAAAGTTCATGGAAAAATAAGATTAAAGTATGAGTTTTTAGTACCAAAAAAACACTCCATAAATCATTTTTACATAATATGCTTTTACCATGAAGTTTCTAAAGACCTCTCCTAATGGTCAACTTGAAAGGCCCAAGCTATGTTCCTATGATGTTTAAATCATTAAAGCCAAAGACAGTATATTTTGTCTTGTAAAAGACTGTCAGAAAAAAAAAAAAAGACTATCAGCAATGTGGAGTGAAAAATAAAAATACAGGGTGAACCTGTTAATTACTTTGAAACAAATTCCAAAAATATATAGTAAAAATTATTACTTCAGTGGGAATTAATCAATAATTTTATTTTAACACAAATTCTGTGATTTTTAATATGAGGTTGGAACCTTAAGGCCATAACAGAAAAATAATTACGGAATGAAATTAGTGAGAAATTGCTCACATAGGGGACCAGCAGTTGGCGTAATGGTTATGTTGCTGGACTCGGTAGTTTAAACTCACACGCTGGGCGTGTATGCGTGCGTGCCCAAGATCATGAGAGGAGAATGGAGGAGAAGGGATTGTGGCATGGCCATCCCCCCAGAGGGTGATTTCTCAGTTTCTGTCTCTCAGTCTCTCTCTGTCTTTCTAGTGAACGCACGTACCCTCACACAGATCAATGGTAAAAGGGAAATGGAAAAGGATTTACTTATATAGTCAATAAATGCAACCAAAATTTTAATAGGTTTTGCTTTTTTTTTCTTTTAGACGTATGATTTTTAAAAAATTAATTTTATTTATCATTATCATTATTATTCAACTTGCTACAGGGCATGTGTGCTCATCAGAGAGAGAGAGAAGAAAGAGAAGTCAAGTCACCAGGTCTGGGACTTGAATTGCTGCTGGCCTTACACAGCAAGCCACCTGCTGGGCCTATTTTGACAGTTTTTGAGTCACAGAAGATTTTGTGTGAGCCACAGAGAATCAACAGAAGACTGAAACAAGCCCCATCCCTAATGAATATACAATACAGCCAGAGTTAACAGCCAAAATTCTTACATTAAGGTTGGTCCATTTAACTATACAAAAGCTATAAAAAGAGCTACAACCAAATAAGCTCTAAATAGCAGATATTTTTTGGTAGATAGCAGAACTTTTTAAACCAACTATAACACTGTTGCTAAAACTTGGTTATGTGTGAGATTACATGCTAGAATATTCCACCAACTTGACGGCATGATAAAATCACTTGCATTTGTCTACTCTGGCCCTTATCACACAGTACTTTCACAGTGGATTTTCCTTGTTTGTCTTTCTGAATTTCAGAGCACCAGGAAGGGAAACATTCTAATTTATCCAATCCGGTATTCTCAAGTATTTAGCACCATGTTGGCACAGAACAATTCGATAAACATATGCTAAGTGAATGAAAAGAAATATGCTCCCAAGAATAAAAAGATTTAAATATTTCATTGTTAGGTTCAGAAAAAGTCAAACTTACTGAAACAAAGATACATTTAAATAGATAATCCAATGTCTGAGCGCTGGACCCACCCTACACATTTTCAAGTATCTGAATATGTTTGAAATATATACTGTTGGAGCTCATAAACCAGTGACTGGTGTTTTCACATGCTAAGTTGGAGAAATAGCCTCTGAACCAAAGTCTATCTCTGATCTTTTCTTTGTCCCCTCTCTCTCGATCATCTGGGTTCTTTTTCTTCCTAAAGTGCAGGGAAGGACTTTACTTTGATGTTCTATTATTGGACTCACCAAAGAAGAAAACAAGTCCCTTCAGTCTTCTCCCCACGGTTTCATTAACTAACCTCACATAACAGGAAGGAAGACCGACGAATGTCAACATACCTAGACAGATTCTGTCACCGGTTACTGTCTTTCAAAGCCCATCCAGTTCTCAAGAAGAAACATTTACTTACCAATGTCTGAGCGCTGGACCCATTATTTCCCCCTAAAAACCGTTCACTCTAAAATTGCCTGCACCCAATTTTCCTCTCTGACATAGAGAGGGTATTAAAGCCACAGCCATTTGCTCCCTTCCTGGAGCTTACAATTTTCTATGGCTCCCATATACAAATGTACACATCAAAATAAATCTATGTGTGCCTTTTCTCTTACTTAATCTATTATTAGTGATTATCAGCAGAACTTTTGAGAGGAGGGACTTTTCTTTCAACCTACAGAAAACAATATACAGAAAACAAAACAAACCCTAACGGTGGCAGAAAATGAACACCATAAGGGGGCACTAGTGAGCTATATTTCACCAATGAATATAAAGAACAATTACAGCTAACAGAGTATTTATTATATGCCAAATTTTGTTCTAAGTACTTTGAATGTATCCATTAATTCACTCCTCCCAACCTATGAGGTAGGAACTATTGCTATCCCATTTTATTGACGAGGAAACTGGGATACAGACTGGTTAAGTCACTCGTTCATGATTACACAGCCAGTAAGTAGAGCTAAGACACAGCTTGAGACAGTCTGGTTCCAAGATCTGCTTCTTCAGTCACTACGCTACTCTGCTGGTATACCGTCATTGATTTACTTTATTAATAACTATGCCAGGTGGAGTCAAACTGAAAACACTTCTTCATTACTATATTTGAAAAACAATGATCATAGACTTCCTAATTTGTATTTAGTTTTAACTTAAATGTTACATCTAAATTATATTATCCAGAAGTAAAAGGGAAAAAAAAATAAAAGAAAAAAATTAAAGTAGTAAGTATAGATTCCTCCCTATAATGGGTATACAGTTTATTTCAGTGAACCTGACAGTACTAAAATTAAATTTAGCAGAATACAAAATATAAAGAAATAGGTATAGTAAAAATAGGCAGAATTCAGACTCTGAATTTACCTTTTTAAAAATAAATTCAGAGACATTAGCATTTAAAATAGAGTGCGCTTATGAGACAGACATCAAATCCTATTACAAAAGTGACTATTACCTCCTAATGTGACATTTCCATGTAGAAATCGTCCTTGATAAATAAGTCGTAGAATGTTTGGACTGCTGACCTGTTCTTCTTCCCAATCTGAAAAGAATCCAGTAAATGAGTCAGGTGCATTTCATTACTTAATTGAAGTACAATAATATTGTGTTGTTTTTTCCCCAAATAATTATTATTTTATTTATTATTATTTCTTAATTTAACGAGAAAGAGAGAGAAAGTGAGAAAGCAAGTCTTCAGGTCTGGGACTCAAAGGATGGTCGACTATGTGGGAGTCCAGCCTTAACTACCACGCCACCTGCTGGCCTCCAACAGTATTGTTTTAAAAGTTCAGATCCCAAATCTGTGAGTCAGAGAAGACAAATGGAGCTTCCTACTAATTGAAAAAGTCACTATACATACATTAACTCCAGCCTTGGTTCTTGTTTATTCTTCTTATCAAATAGCAAGAGCTAGAAAAAAGACTACTTTTGGGACAAGCAGTTAGTGTAATGGCTCTGTCGCTGGACTCCCATGTAGTCAACCACAGTTTGAGTCCCAGACCCGGTGGCTTAAAACTCGCACCAGGTGCATGTGCGTGCGTGCCCAAGATCCTGAAAGAAGAATGGAAGAGAGGGGATTGCAGCGGGCCATCCCCCCTGGGGGGTGATTTCTCGCTTTCTGTCTCTGTCCGTCTGGCAAGTGCATGCATCCTATAGCAAAAACCTCTCGAGTAAATAAATAAATAAAAAGACTAGTTTTTGCTTCTTAAACAATACTAAAATATGTTAAACTGTAGAACTCAAGTTTACAAAATTAACATGTAAGTTGGGAAAATCTAACCCAAGAGAAATATCATTTGAAAATAAAATTCAATTACCAGTTACTAAAAAGAATATTATAATGTCCCAATATTTGTACCTGTTAAAATGTATATTCCAGGCTAAATACAACAGGTTTAAGAACAATTTTTAAGAAAAGTTAATACACTAATAGAGAATAGCAAAAAATTAAGTGCTTACTTTTGAACAATATTGATTATTTTATTGTCCTTTTAAAGTCCATTGGCAAACATTACAGAAGATACAACTTTAGTTCACTTTATTCAAAATGAATACTCAGAAGAAGGCCCCCAGGGACCAGAAGTTAGTATAATGGCTATGTCGCTGGACTCCCATGTAGTCAACCGCGGTTTGAGTCCCGGACCCTGTGGTTTAAAACGCATGCTGGTGCATGTGCATGTGTGCTCAAGATCCCAAGAGGAGAAAGAGAAGGGATTGTGGCATGGCCATCCCCTCTGGGGGTGATTTCTTGCTTTCTGTCTTTCTGTCTCTCTCTGTCTTTCTGGCAAGCACATATGCCCTGCAGCAAAAACCTCTCAAAAAAAAAAAGGAGGCCCCCAAATAATGTGTATTTGAAAACACTATACAAATATAAAAGGATAGGATGGTAAACACAGGAAATGAAAAGATAAACTGGTAAATAGAATGGGTACCAGAATGTTTAATTTAGCATATAACTTATGTTATAATAAAATATGGAACACCAGTTGGTTGAAATAATGATTTCAGGACACTGGGGTTATACTAGGGTATGGAGTTGGTAATTTTCATTTGCTTGTATATTTAACAATTTGCAAATTCTTTTGTCAGTAATTCTAATATGATGTGTTTGTTTCCTATAGAAGCTCCTATTGCCAGGAGACAACTGTTAGTGTAAAAAATAGTTAAAAATGTTCTGAAAAGAGTGAGTGATAAACAATACAGAAGGTAAGCAGAACTGACCCTTAACAACGTGGGGATTATGGGTGCTAGCCTCACACAATTGAAAATCCACACATTAACTTTTTTTTTTTTTTTTTTGAGAGATTTTCACTGTAGGGCGCGTGCGCTCGCCAGACAGACAGAGAGAGACACAGAGACAGAAAGCGAGAAATCACCCCCCAGGGGGGATGGTCACGCCGCAATCCCTTCTCCTCCATTCTCCTCTCGGGATCTTGGGCACGCACGCACACGCGCCCGGCGTGAGTTTTAAGCCACCGGGTCCGGGACACAAACCGCGGTCGACTACATGGGAGTCCAGCGACATAGCCATTACACTAACTGCTGGTTCCCCACACATTAACTTTTGACTTCCTGAAAATTTAATGTTTTAACCTTCAAAAACTTTTTAACTTTGCTGGTGCCAGCAAGTATGGTGGTTAAGGAGATGGACCCCGCATGGTCAGCTCTGTGGGTGGAGTCCCAGACCCGGTCACTTGAAAAACAAGCCAGGCACATGTGCCTGCATGCCCAAAATCCCAAGAGGAGAATGGAGGAGATGGAACTGTGGCATTGGCATGGCCATCCCCCCGGGGAGTGGATCTCTCTTCCTGTCTCTATCTCTCTGGCAAGATGTGGTATGGGTGGCATGGCCATCCCCCCGGGGAGTGGATCTTTCTTCCTGTCTCTATCTCTCTGGCAAGTGGATGGTATGGTTAACAACCTAAAAGTAAACAAACAAACTTTTCAACTTTGCTTTTAACAAAAGTGGTTGATTAACACATATTTTGTATAGTGTATGTATTATATACTGTACTCTTACAATAAAGTAAGCTACAGAAAAGAAAATGTTATTAAAAAAAATCCTAAGAGCAAATGTTTACAGTACTGTAATGCATTTTTCACTATATTTACTGAAAAAAAAAATCCTGTAAAAGTGGCTAAGTGCAGCTTAAAACTGTTGTTCAAGGGTTGATTAGACTTTTCCATTTGACTTTTATTGAGTGCTTAAAATGATGAATATGAATTTGATAAAAAACTATTGCTTCTCAGTGAGTCTGGCAAAAGAAACAAGTGCAGGAGAAATGAATGTCAGTCCTTCCCAGCTTCCTACCCCATGTCTTTTCTCCTTCCCCTTTTTCTCCCCACAAGTCTTTGTTGCTTTCTAGCTCCACTGATCCCAGGTCTCTCCTCTTTAGAAGAAAAATCTAATAAACCTCTTAACACTTTAGTATGAATTACCCTGTTTCCTTTCTTCTAAAATTATTGTTTAGTAGAGTATTTCTGGTCAAAAACTAAGTGCTCTATAGATATAAAGACAAATGGTTGTAACTGTCTAATTCATAGAAAAAAAAGGCTAATATTACAAAAATATTTAAAACATTTTTTTGAAATGAAGAGGACTTATTTCATTATCTTCTAGCTTGTCACGATTTATACATACTTCATTGGTGTAGTATACTAAATCTCCCTTTTCTTTTCTAAGGATCAGCAGTGTAGAGACCTGTAGAACAGGCTTAAAGGAGGAATTTCAGGTATTATTTACATATGCTTAGTGGAATTTTTTTTTTTTTTAATCTCTGATCCAATAACATCTTTATGTCTGTCTGACTATTCTACCTACTAGCAGTATTTCCACTAAAGCGCCTAAGAGTATGCTAAGGAAAACAAATTCCTCCCAGGAACACATTGTTTAAAGTGTTTTCTTCTATTGATTTAATATTTACTATACCTTTGTTATTAGCATCAATAAATACATATACTTGCTGACTTCAGTGCATTATACAATATAAACCTAGATTTAAATATTTCATATGAATAAAATTAAATTCTTTATTCCTTACAATGTCTTAAATTGTTGATGAGCTTATTTGTCAAAACAGAGGAAGGATTAGGAATTTAAAGTTTTTTTCATACAAAATAAGCAACATCTACTTGAAAAATCAATTTTAATACCAGTAGTCCATCCATTCATCTGGGATACTACTTACGGCAAAGATGTATACCTGATTCTTACCTTTGGTTATAATTAATTCTTTTAAGGAAATAAAACTTATTATCTAAGTCAAATCATTATGAGAATAAAAGCGTTTCTTTCACCTCAAGTTATAATGTTGACTACATAAAAAAAATTGAGGGGGAGTTTTCTTTTTCTGCCTTGTGTTCTTCTCTACAATATTCCTCTATCAAAAGATATCTTTACCCACCACCCTAGCTCCCCCAAAAAACATGAAAGTCATCTTTTATGGCACACTTAAGCACATCCATCACTCTTAGGTATTTAAAAATGTTTCTCATATTGATAGTTATCTGTCCTGCCTGGCTATGGAGAAGATCTAATATTAGAGCCCCAAGTTTAGCCTACTTTAACTTTTCTGAAATTTCTTCTTAGCTATAACCGTTAGCCTCAATACCTGCCAGATTTAGGAACGAGTCCCTTGGTTATCAATAGGAAGTAGTTCGAAGTATTCTGAATCAGTGTTTCTTAAACTCAGGCCTAAATCCGTAAAGACATTCTTAGGATCCGAAAATTCTATTAGAAAACGTTTAGATTATGCTTTTATTTTAGTAATAATTTGGAAGACTATCTAGATGACTGAAATAATCACTTTATAACTAAGTGAAGCCTTGTGACTTTAGTACCCGAGCACGCCCAAGGCTTACGATTATACTGGCACCAAGCAGTCAGCACTTCTTTAACTGTCAAAAGGCTGAGGACTAAAGAACAGAGGCTGACTTATTGTGTAAATGATGCATTCTCTCTAGGACAAGACTGAACGACAATTTGGTACACTGTGTGAATAAAGGTTTTGTGGCAAATCTGCAGATAACTAGAATTATCATTCCCCATGCAGGAGGCCATGCCAAACTCAATAGTCTTCATTTGTGGTAAAAGCAGCGAGCTGCCATTAGCAAACATGTATTATCTGGCACATTAATAATGTTAATCTGAACATTACTGATTTTAGAATTACACTTGAATTTTCTGTATAGCTGTGTTTTAGTTGTATAGTTGAAATGAATTAATAATAAAATTGAGTAAAATCAGCTGAAATAGTCATATCACTATGGAACGTGCCTTAAAGAGGTCAAAATGACACTTGAGTGTTTTCAAAGGAAGAACATAAACTGAAGATCCATGTAAGGGAGGCAGAACAGTCTTACTATGTAGAAAAGAACCAGAGGAAAAAAGGAATACCAAACACTCTCTTCTAATTGCTTGTCATGGATACTGGCATGAAAATGCAAAGATGTAAATGAACTGTTCACCTGCTTAACCTTGTGGTATTTAAGGGAACATGTGAAGTGACATGAATTAGGAGTTAACTTTGTTTCAACCTAATTCTAAATAGGCTATGCACAGAGTAGACCAAAGAGAATGCATTATAATATGTGAAAGATAGTTTTTTTCCTTTTCCTTTGTATTTTGGTATGAATAGCTTTATTAATAGATATGAAAGTATATGTTTACCATTTTGTTGTCTTTCTTTTTAAAAAATATTTTTCACTTAACATTAAAACACTTATGCAAAAACAGGGATTTTGTGTCCAGGTTACTGCACAGAAAATTTGGAATGAGGGAGTTGAAGAGCAAAATCTACAAAAGGATACAAGAACCATCTTTTAAATCTGAGTCTTATACTCTCAACTCTGCACTTGTTCTTTTATATTTATAATAACTGCTTCAAGGGACCAGCAGTTAGCATAATGGCTATGTCGCTGGACTCCCACATAGTCGACTGCGGTTTGAGTCCCAGACCTGGTGGATTAAACTCACACGGGGTGCGTGTGCGTGCGTGCCCAAGATCCCGAGAGGAGAATGAAGGAGAAGGGATTACAATGTGGCCATCCCCTCTTGGGGGTGGTTTCTCGCTTTCTATCTCTCTGTCTCTCTCTGTCTGTCTGGCAAGCACATGCGCCGTATAGCAAAAACCTCTCCAAAAAAAGAAAAAAAAAAAACTGCTTCAAAATGTTTTGAAATAAGGTAAAGCATAAAGAATATACATTATTCATCCTCAAGAGAAAAATGCCACTCACCCATTGGCCAATTGTCATACACATGCTTTGCAATGTCTGAAGCAGAATCATTAGGAGAAAACAGGAACTCTTTTGTTTTTCCGCTTACCAAGATGAGGCGCAAATTAATCTGAAAGAAGACAAAGATTCTTTTAATATAAATCTTAACATTTTTAAAGCTAAAAAACGACCCCAGGCTTTTTTTCATTTCAATCACGTTCTAAATTATTATCAATGCTATTTGTGGGTTTTATTTACTTAATTCTATAAAGCTCTTAAAAAATTTTTTTAAGCATAGAAATTTGGAATATGTATTTCTCATCATTTAAGATACTTATGTGGGGGTGCTCAGACGTACTTGCCATAATAAATGAAAAAAGGAAAAATCCATTATAATTTAAAATGTAACCCCCTAGCAATGTTCAGAATCACACTTCTACAAGATATCACTCCTATTACTATAGAGTACATAATTCGTATTAAAAAAACTCATAAAAATATTTATTCTGTAGATGTCAACACTAAACAGAAAAAACGTAACTAATATTCATTTTTTTGGGGGGGGAAAGGTTTTTGCTATAGGGCGCGTGCACTCGCCATACAGACAGAGACAGACAGAGAGACAGAAAGCAGGAAATCACCCCCCAGGGGAGATGGCCACGCCGCAATCCCTTCTCCTCCATTCTCCTCTCAGGATCTTGGGCACGCACGCACACGCACCTGGTGTGAGTTTAAGCCACCGGGTCTGGGACTCAAACCGCTGTCGACTACGTGGGAGTCCAGCAACATAGCCATTATGCTAACTGCTGGTCCCACTAATATTCAACTTATTAAACCTCATCTCTAAATCAAAACCAAAAAATAGCTGTACTCCATTTTTTAAAAACATGTAACTAAGAGAAAATAAATTATATACAACTTTTTATCCTATAAAAGTTACCCAAACTTAAACAAATTAACCAGAAACTATACTTTTTTTTTTTTTCTTTTTTGGAGAGGTGTTTGCTATAGGGCACGTGTGCTTGCCAGAAAGACAGAGAGAGACAGAGAGACAGAAAATGAGAAATCATCCCCCGGGGAGATGGCCACGCCACAATCCCTTCTCCTCCATTCTCCTCTCAGGATCTTGGGCACACACGCACACGTGCCTGGTATGAGTTTAAGCCGCCGGGTCCAGGATTCAAATCACAGTCAACTACATGGGAGTCCAGCAACATAACCATTATGTCGTCTGCTGGTCCCCAGAACCTATACTTTTAAAGAACTTTATTATTATTTTAAGAGGAGGAATCAATAATAGTCCTTTACTACTTTAATCCCAACTGCCTGATCATTTACTTTAAGGGCCCGGACAGGACATGAGGCCCAAAGGATACAGATTCACCTTCAGAGAATGCTCTAAGGGGCATAAGAAAATTGAAGTGTTTGAGATCCACTGGACTCACATTTCCACGTCAATATATATTTGCTAACATATTTTCCAAAATGCTCAATTTTTAATTTTTTAAAAAGGAGTATTTAATGTTATTATCATTATTATTTTTTAATTTGACCAGAGAGAAACATGGGGGTGCGGGTTGAGAAAGCAAGTCACCAGGTTCTAGGAGTCCAGCACCGACCGCCATGCCACCTGCCGCCAATGCCCCAACCCGGCTTTTACATTTTTATCTATCATAATTAACTTGATGGCCTTTTAAAACTTTATTCATTAATTTCTGAGAGCGAAAGAGATAGGCAACCCTATGCCCCCTCCCCACCATACACATACACACAGGGTCTTCATACTGTGATCCATGCCCGGTCATGGCTGGCCAGGATTACTCACACATGTGTGTGCCCAGCTTGTACAAGGAGATCTTGGGAAATGAACCTGGGACCTCCCATGTAAGCCTGGAATTGCAGAGCACTGTTACTACAGTGCTATGATCTGGCTCCAGTGTGATGTTAACTTTTAAATCTATTATATTCAGAGCCAGACAGTGGTGCAATGGTAAAATGTGATGTTCTGTGAGGCTGACCCACATAGGAAGGTTGTGGGTTCATGTCCACAGACTCGAAGATGACAGATTGATATTTGTCCATGGCCCAGGGTTGGCTGGGGCTAAGACTGGATCATGGTACTGGGATGCTAGAGGGAGTATTGCCTCTTTCTCTTTATCATGAAAGAAGTAAAAATTAACTTTAAAAAAATTCAGAAGAACTAAACAATCATCTTATCTATTAATTTCTTCATTAAGTCACAAAATACAAGTGTGGTTTTCTACAACTCCAAGCCTCTTTTAAGAACATAAAGGAGACCGTACTGAAGTTGGGTTTGGTCCAGAGCTAGCTGAGCCCTGGGACTAGGCAATCTAGCCTAGCTTCTTTATATATAAAGAACAGAGAATGTCATTGTACTAGTTTGAATTGTGCCAGATTCCAGGTTACCTAAGCCCTAATCTTTGGTTACCAATATTTTTTTCTATTAAAAATATCAGGAAATCTTTTAGAATATCAGAGTCTACAGTGAATAAATCAATGCCCACTGCAGCGGTCACTGATTTACTATCATAACCACCACCATGGTCAATGACATTCCAGTGCCTTAATACTTTGAAAATGTAAGTTATAAAAAAAAAATCTATATTCCAGATGCAAAGCACTTTCAATATATACAGAATTTCTTCCTGCCTTTTCTAATTAGAAACTGCATTAAAGAACTTTAATACAGGAAAGATCTGATGAGATCATACTGCTATAAGAAGTAATATGAAACTTTATGAGTTTCATTTGAACAAGTTCAAGTAGTAGTATGCAATAATTAAATGATAAGAAATTCATCTCTGGGCCAGTTCCATGGCCTAGCGGTTAGGCAGCCAGATCCCACATGGCTGATTGCATGGTGTAAGTCCTCGGCCTGGAGGCTTGAGGAATATGCTGGGCTTGTGTGTGTGTGTGCCCAAAATTAGAAAAGGAGAAATAAAGGAGGAGGAACTGCAGTATAATTGTTCCCCATGAGGGGTGCTTTCTCATCTTTTCTCTTGCTCTCTCCACAGTACGCACGCACCCTCTACCAAATGAGGAAAACAAAAAAAATTCTATATATACTTCCTAGAGAAAATAAGTAGTCATTTTAAGGAAGGAACCTAACACCTATGAACAAATGTGAATTTTAGTGCTCACAGATGTATTACTATTCATGGCTATCTCTTTACATATGAATGCTAATAAATACATATTATACTCTAAACTTACATGGACTCTTTCAACAGACTCAAACTACCACATAAAACCTTTTAGGCATTAATACTCAGGAAATAATGCCTCTCATAATGGTTTACCCACATGCGTTTGGTTAACTAGAAAAAAAATAAATAAATTCAAGTTTCCTAAGAGCTGTGTAAATGATATGAACCTACTAGTCCTTGAAATCATTTTTTTTTTTCTTTTTTGAGAGGTTTTTGCTATAGGGCATGTGAACGCACCAATAAGACAGAGAGACAGAAAGTGAGAAATCACCCCCCCCCCCCCCCGGGGGGTCGGTCAAGCGAGAAATCACCTCCCCCCCAGGGAGGATAGCTACGCCGCAATTCCTTCTCCTCCATTCTCCTCTTGAGATCTTGGGCACGAATGCACAAGCGCCCAGCGTGAATTTAAGCCATGGGTCCAGGACTTGAAACACGGTTGACTGCATGTGAGTCCAGTGAAATAGCCATAATGCCAATTCTGGTCCCATTTGAAATCATTTTTTTAGTTTATTTGAATTATAATACTTAAAAGTAATAAAAGAAAATAAAATTTTTTCTTTAGAATACATAAAGGTGACACTAAACTTACTCTTGATTTTCCCTTCTATTAATATGAAAATGAAAAAATGATAAACAATAGCACATCCTTATCACAGAAATCTATGCAGATATTAAAATGACATAAGATATAGATTTATATGATTTGACAGGGGACTATTCCCACAACACATTAAGTGAAAGAAAACTGGCTATAAAGTGGTACTGTGGAAACAAAAGAACGTAATTCTAGTTGCTATGAACTACTGTTCCCTTCAAATCTCTTATGTTTAAGCTATAACCCCCAAAATGACTATATCTGGGGATAGGGTCTTTAGGAGATAATTAAGGTTAAGTGAGGTCATGGAGCCGTAATCCATATTGTGACCTATAAGAAGAGAAAAAGAGGAAGAGTGTTTGTTGCTTTTAAAATGGAACAATATATTACCATTTCAAAGAGTACCTCGTGATCATTTCAGAATATTCCTAATAAACTCAATATTTTTAATAAAGCTATCAAGTACTATATGAGGATGGACTTTCAAAATAATTTACATAAGATTTACTTAAGTGTACATTCCCTTTAAGAATATAAAAAATAAAATTAAGTTTTTTTTTTTTTTTAAAGCTAAGCACAGGAATATTTAAATACAGCATTTAAAAATGAATTCACAAGACAGTCATGGATCCTCTGAAGACTATTTACTGAACCTAAGACTTTCTATTCTGTAAGCCTGGCCAAAGGAATCATTTATGGATATCCCCTGCTTTTCTCTTATTTCTTCCCACAGGTTTAAAACCAAAAGCAAAAGCAAAACTAAAACCAAAACCAAACAAAACACGCACAAACACATGCCACATACTAGTCCATAAATATTGCATTGTTTGAAAATTCACAACACATTTTTGCACAGAAAAATGCATCATGACTTTTCCAGTGACCCAATATAACTGTCCAGGTTCACTGCAAAGTTCTCCTCATTTTCTGTTTTAAAACTGACATATATCACTGTCACTGACAAACTGATATTTTTATACTTCAAAAATCAATGTACTGGGGACCAGCAGGTGGCATGGTGGTTAAAGTCACATAGCCAACTGAGGTTTGAGTCCCAGACCTGGAGGCTTGCTTTCTTACTTTCTCTTTCTCTGTCTTGCTCTGGTGCGCACATTTGCCCTTTAGCAAATTAAATAATAATATCTGTTAATAAATAATTATTGAAAAAAATAGTAAAATAAAATTGAATAATTAAGAAAACAAATCAATGTTCTAAAGAATATATTTATCTAGATGTTAAGAATACAGGAAACGGGGACCAGCAGTTGGCATAATGGCTATGTCACTGGACTTCCATGCAGCCAACTG